GACGTTCACGAGCCTTACGCTCGAGGAATTATGTAAGTCGATATTCACGTTTAGTAATTACGTAAGCTCCTTGTCATATGATCTTAATCAATACAATCATTTTTTATTATTTAGTCAACGTAACGAGTACCACCGGCGTGCGCGATACCATCAGAACATGCGGTACTATGACCTATTCCGGTTCGTATTTGCGTGTGCAAATACGCAAAAGTGGCTTTTACGAGTACGCAAAGAATTGCATGGCCGATGCCTTGACCGCTCGTTGTACGGAGGTCGACGAAGGGTCCTTGTACGTGGCGCTCGCGTATCGCTCAACGCAGATGATTCGGAAGCTCGTTTCCACAAGCACCCCGGAGGACTTTGAACAATTGAAGGCTGAGGCAATCCGTATAAACGGAACCACGAAAGATCGATTCATGATACCGCATAGCATGACGGATGCAAGAATCAACGACTCCGAGATCCTAAAGAAATATGCCGATAGAGCGTGAGTACTGAACTTTGTATTACAATTTACGTATACGTCTGTGTTTCTGTGCGCAATTAATGGTACAATTTTTGTATTCCAATAGCTTCGAAAGGTCCAAAACCGCCTTTACAACCCATCACAAAAACTTCGGAAAAGTAATGACCGATGAAGTGGCGGCGACGGGTTCCGGCAGCATCCAAGGTGAAGACTACGTCAAGACATTCGGCAACGAGGCGCATCCGATGCCCACGAAGGAAATTTTCGATGACAAGGAGAACCACGGCTGCGAAATCATCGAGGTGATCCCGAGTACTTCTGCTCAATTCGTAAATGCCAAAGCAGGAACGTCGTCGACAGCCGGCGGTGAAGGTATGTAACATCGTGCATTAATAGTATAGTCTAACGCTCGTTTGTTCAATGTAGTAATTACGATTACAATTGCAGGTACTAAAACCAAACCCAAGCCCAAATTTTCGGACGATGAGGATTCGGATTATGAGTCCGAGCATCGAGTAAATAGGAAGACAAAGTGCGACAAATCCGACGCGACGATTGATCTAGTGTCGCAAGGTTCAGATGGCGCATTCGCTCACCCGACCCAAATCCCGCCGCGCGATAATCGTAAGTGTCGTTTTGAAATTGATATTCGTGTTTACTGAACCACGTCGATAGTAAACAATTTCTCATCCATTCTAATGAAAACATGTTTCTCATGTACAGGTAATTCCATGAAGAATAAGGGCGTCGTAGCCAGGACGAAAAAAATCGTCGGAGAGAAGAAGCCGCTCCAACTGATCGCCCAGCCAACGAAGCAGTTCGTGTTGAACCCCCTTTGCCTGTCGACGCCAAAGCCTAACAATGTTCCAGTAAACGGACAAGCAACGAACCACCACAGCAAACCGAAGTCGCAGGAGGATCGGCAAACGATCGAACGTGAAAGTTCGTTGGACGAGTTTCGCGTCGATAGTCCGACGAGAAATGATGGGGACAAATCGATCAAGCGCGACAGCAACTTGAAACGCAAGTCGCATTCGTCCAGTCGCTCGCCCGTCGGTGGTTCCTCGGAGAAGAAGGCCCGTAAATCGTCCACGTCTTCGAGATCACCTTCGTCGACTCGTAATGACGGAAACAGTAAGTCGACTCGTACGCCGACTTCCAAATCGTCGAAAAAGCAGCTCACCCTGAAATTGCAAAAGAAACTCGCCAAGGCTCATTTAACGTACGGGTCGGAAGATGAAGACTCCATTGACTGATCGCAAGCGACCGTAAAATTGAGTCAATCGATCCCGGCGTCGCAGATCGTCGATAAAACGGGCAATAGCGCGACGGATGACATATTGGTAATCGAATCGGATCTTCACTTGTCGAACGATGATAGCCCGCCTTACGTAAATACCAAATCAAAAGGAGGCGACTTGCAAAACGTTCCGACACCAGTCGTCGCCAAAAATCAGGATTTGTCACAGATGTTGGGCCAAATGCTGGCGAAAAATCCTGACTTTATGACAATATTAAATATTAGCAAGAATCTGTCGCAAGTTGGCGAAGTTGGAAAGGTAACTCCTAGTACATCAGATCGCAGTGCGGTTCGCAATCCCGAGGCCCTCGGGAAATTGGCCGAATCGTTGGGAAATTCGTACGACTTGTCCAACGGTCAAGATTGAGTGATAAATGATCAATGTTTTGTTAAACAACTGTTAAAACTTAATATGTACAGTATTTAAAGGATTCGAAGTGTTTTTGTTAAAACAAGATTTATGTATTTGTAATCGTCGTTCAACGACTACCGTTCATTTTTTAGAATAAGGGCGTTTGCAGGTTTCAACCCGTATGTACTTAGATTAAGTAATTTCTATACCCTTTCAACTTTATCGATGTTGATCAAAGATTTTAGTAATAGTAGATTGATAAACTGTAAAAGCAATTACCAATGTAAGAAAAATATAATATTACGCATAATTAAGATATTAAACGTAATTGTGCTGACAAAGTGGTACTGTTATAAAGATTTATGTATTCGTAATCGTTGTTCCTCCAGTAAAAAGTCTGTATAAGATGACGCAACTTAAAGAGGTGATAATTTTCCAACAGTTCGCTTAGGGTACGACGATTGGACATGTCGATGCGAACATAGCCAATCGGCCGTAAGTCACTTTGGTAAACACAACACTATAACAGCACCAAGATTTTCACGTAAATGTCAATTACCGGCACTTGTTCACGACCAACGATTACAGTAGCACTTTAGATTGTTTTTTTTGTTTGCGTATTCACCAAAGTTATATTTGTCACCAGGTCGTTCCTGACACTGCTAGGTCACTAGGTTGCCACGTCGAAGCCGAGGACTGGGGATGTCGACACGTCGAGCTCTGGGTCTCAACTGAGCTCCGCGTCCGATCCACCCGGTATTTATACCCATCAGCGCCACTCCAAGCGACCAATGACAATGCGTCTGATCGATGATTGGTGGCCGAGTGGGCGGAGCGAAGCCCGTTGCTAAGCAACACCCCCCAAAACATTGCCCCCACCACCAATGTCATGTGCCGCGGGTATAAATGGAAGGAGGCGAGATTCACTCGGCTCAGTCGGGTCGCAACAGTCAGACCGCACGCATCGGAGCCATGACCTAAAAGTGAATTAATAAACAGTTTTGTTTAGTCAATTATCAATACCATCAGTTTGATTAAGTTGCTTCATCGTGTTCACGATTTGCCGTATCTTAATGTACAAAAATAATAATCTAGCATTCGCTAGTCAATCGGTTTAGGCAATAAGGGACAACACTTTTTTGTGTGTCATTCGACAAGAAATTTGTCGATCGTCAAATTTTATTTTGCAACGTTTCGTCTAGCATGATTCTAGACCTCTTCAGGCTATAACAAACAAGTTTAGACATAAACATACAACACTTTTACAATCACTTTCTTATTAACGAGTACATACCATGTTGCGAGTCGATGTAATACTAAAACTAAATTAACAATATCAAGACTTATATTCAAAATTGACCGTATATAAACATATTTACAAAAATAGGCCACGATACGCTACGCTCAAACCTCGTGTATCTTCTCTTTTGTTAATAGCAGAGACGTTGTTTTTGATGTAAAACATTTCTGCGATGAGCCTTTTAAACCAATTATTTTCAGTATGTAGAATGCTGACGTTCTTGAAATCAAACTCATGTGCATGTTCCAATGAGTGCAGTCTCACTACTGATTTCGGATCTTTGTTGTTTTTGTGTTCACTGATACGTTTCTTCAGTGCTCTCTTAGTTTCACCTACATATGTTGCATCGCATGACTTGCATTCAAATTTATATACCGAGTTTACACGGTCCAGCTTTTTCGTATTGTCTTTTCCTAATACAATGATGTCGTTAAGCTTATTATTTATCGATGGAATGATTTTGATGCCGTATTTCTTTAGTAAGAGCGATGTGTGCCTGACGAAGTGCTGATTGTATGGTAACGTCAGACACAAGCGACTCCTATCACGAGAATCCAGCCCGTTCACAGATCGTAGATTATTTTTACAACGTATGCTTATTTTTCTTCTTTCCACAAATCTATCGATGAAGTGATCGGGATATGAATTCTTACGCAAGATGTCACGAACCACACGTAAATTACCTGCGTGAAATCTTTTATCTGAGAGCATTAAAGCTCTGTCTACCAGATTGTACACCGTGTTAATTTTAAGATTTTTCGGGTGGTTAGAATTAAAACTCACTGTTCATTGTGACGCTATATCTTTTCTGTACCAGTTGGTGACAATACGTGATCCAATCCTAATGAATTGCACGTCTAAGAAGTTCAGATGATTATCGGTTTCAACTTCATGTGTGAACTTGATATGTGTATTTTGTTTATTAAAGATCTTCAAAATGGTATCAACATGATTGATGTGTACACATGCGAAACCATCGTCGACATATCTGTACGAAAACAACGGAACGATGCCAAATTCATCTTTCAGTCTTCTCCAGCACTCCGACTCCAAATCAGCAAGAACCAAATCAGCGTAGAAAGGACTGATGTTAGATCCCATCGGAGAGCCGGCGATCTGCTTGTAATACTTTCCATTAAACGAAAAATACACATTGTTAAACAAGAACTTCGTACACTCTATGACCTCCGCAAAGGGTATCTTTGAATTTTTACAAATCTCATTGTATCTGCGGTCTAAGCTTGATAAAACGTCCTCCAACATAACATTGGTGAACAAAGATACAACATCCATAGAAATAAAAATGTAATTAGGTGGTACTTCAATATTCTTGATTTTTTCAATTAACTCAAAGCTATTATTGATGTGAGACGGAGGATTGCTGAAACACGATTTTAAGTTTTTGTACAAGACAGAAGCTAAAAAACTAGTAGGGCTATTAATTGTAGAGATAATCGGTCTAAAAGCCAAAGATGGTTTGTGTATTTTAGGCAAGCCGTAACACTTAGCCAGTGTGGTGTTTGTCTGAGTGAGAGCTCTGTTTTTATATTTATATTCCAAAAATTCATTGTCGTTCAAGTGTCGTAGAAAACCGTAAACGTTAGCCTGCAATTCTTCCAAGGGATTCCGTGATACTCTGCGGTATGTTTTTGGATCACTAAGCATTTCTTTCATGATTCTGATGTACTCCGACTTTTGCAAGCAAACGGTTACATTTCCTTTATCAGAGTTTGTAAAGAAAATGTCAGGATGATTTTTTAGAAATAGTCTAGCAGATTTTACTTTTCCTTGAGTCGCAATTACTGTCTCGTCAATGCGCTCATATTTATTGCGATGGTATTTGATAGAAGATGCAATTTTTTCCCTTATTTTTTCCTTGATGTTGGAATCCAAATCAACCCTACTCAAGCCAAATTCTACATTCTTTACAACGCTGACTATGTCCGATTCCGACATTTTGCTGTTGGTAACAGAAAACTTCGGGCCGAGAGATACCAACTCGATCACATCTTCTGGTACTCTCACACTAGTCAGATTGACAAAATCTTTCTTGTACGAAATGTTTTCGTGTCTGGCAGTCGGGACACATTGCACACGAGTAAGATGGTTGAATTTTTTCTTATATTGACGTTCTAGAGAAGACGAGATTTTGCGAGCAACGAGATTAGATCGATCTTATTGCCTAAACCGATTGACTAGCGAATGCTAGATTATTATTTTTGTACATTAAGATACGGCAAATCGTGAACACGATGAAGCAACTTAATCATACTGGCCATAGATCAGAAATTGGCCCCAGGAAGTCACCATCATTTTTCCATTCCATCTCAGAGGATTATGGCGTTACTGAACATAGAGATTAGAGATGCCTTCTTTCATCGCAATTTTTTATGGAGAAAAATGGGATATCTCATACGAGACATAAAGTCTACCAACATTCCCGATGAGACCAGAGTCGATTTCTTTTATCGATCTAATCTCGTTGCTCGCAAAATCTCGTCTTCTCTAGAACGTCAATATAAGAAAAAATTCAACCATCTTACTCGTGTGCAATGTGTCCCGACTGCCAGACACGGAAACATTTCGTACAAGAAAGATTTTGTCAATCTGACTAGTGTGAGAGTACCAGAAGATGTGATCGAGTTGGTATCTCTCGGCCCGAAGTTTTCTGTTACCAACAGCAAAATGTCGGAATCGGACATAGTCAGTGTTGTAAAGAATGTAGAATTTGGCTTGAGTAGGGTTGATTTGGATTCCAACATCAAGGAAACAATAAGGGAAAAAATTGCATCTTCTATCAAATACCATCGCAATAAATATGAGCGCATTGACGAGACAGTAATTGCGACTCAAGAAAAAGTAAAATCTGCTAGACTATTTCTAAAAAATCATCCTGACATTTTCTTTACAAACTCTGATAAAGGAAATGTAACCGTTTGCTTGCAAAAGTCGGAGTACATCAGAATCATGAAAGAAATGCTTAGTGATCCAAAAACATACCGCAGAGTATCACGGAATCCCTTGGAAGAATTGCAGGCTAACGTTTACGGTTTTCTACGACACTTGAACGACAATGAATTTTTGGAATATAAATATAAAAACAGAGCTCTCACTCAGACAAACACCACACTGGCTAAGTGTTACGGCTTGCCTAAAATACACAAACCATCTTTGGCTTTTAGACCGATTATCTCTACAATTAATAGCCCTACTAGTTTTTTAGCTTCTGTCTTGTACAAAAACTTAAAATCGTGTTTCAGCAATCCTCCGTCTCACATCAATAATAGCTTTGAGTTAATTGAAAAAATCAAGAATATTGAAGTACCACCTAATTACATTTTTATTTCTATGGATGTTGTATCTTTGTTCACCAATGTTATGTTGGAGGACGTTTTATCAAGCTTAGACCGCAGATACAATGAGATTTGTAAAAATTCAAAGATACCCTTTGCGGAGGTCATAGAGTGTACGAAGTTCTTGTTTAACAATGTGTATTTTTCGTTTAATGGAAAGTATTACAAGCAGATCGCCGGCTCTCCGATGGGATCTAACATCAGTCCTTTCTACGCTGATTTGGTTCTTGCTGATTTGGAGTCGGAGTGCTGGAGAAGACTGAAAGATGAATTTGGCATCGTTCCGTTGTTTTCGTACAGATATGTCGACGATGGTTTCGCATGTGTACACATCAATCATGTTGATACCATTTTGAAGATCTTTAATAAACAAAATACACATATCAAGTTCACACATGAAGTTGAAACCGATAATCATCTGAACTTCTTAGACGTGCAATTCATTAGGATTGGATCACGTATTGTCACCAACTGGTACAGAAAAGATATAGCGTCACAATGAACAGTGAGTTTTAATTCTAACCACCCGAAAAATCTTAAAATTAACACGGTGTACAATCTGGTAGACAGAGCTTTAATGCTCTCAGATAAAAGATTTCACGCAGGTAATTTACGTGTGGTTCGTGACATCTTGCGTAAGAATTCATATCCCGATCACTTCATCGATAGATTTGTGGAAAGAAGAAAAATAAGCATACGTTGTAAAAATAATCTACGATCTGTGAACGGGCTGGATTCTCGTGATAGGAGTCGCTTGTGTCTGACGTTACCATACAATCAGCACTTCGTCAGGCACACATCGCTCTTACTAAAGAAATACGGCATCAAAATCATTCCATCGATAAATAATAAGCTTAACGACATCATTGTATTAGGAAAAGACAATACGAAAAAGCTGGACCGTGTAAACTCGGTATATAAATTTGAATGCAAGTCATGCGATGCAACATATGTAGGTGAAACTAAGAGAGCACTGAAGAAACGTATCAGTGAACACAAAAACAACAAAGATCCGAAATCAGTAGTGAGACTGCACTCATTGGAACATGCACATGAGTTTGATTTCAAGAACGTCAGCATTCTACATACTGAAAATAATTGGTTTAAAAGGCTCATCGCAGAAATGTTTTACATCAAAAACAACGTCTCTGCTATTAACAAAAGAGAAGATACACGAGGTTTGAGCGTAGCGTATCGTGGCCTATTTTTGTAAATATGTTTATATACGGTCAATTTTGAATATAAGTCTTGATATTGTTAATTTAGTTTTAGTATTACATCGACTCGCAACATGGTATGTACTCGTTAATAAGAAAGTGATTGTAAAAGTGTTGTATATTTATGTCTAAACTTGTTTGTTATAGCCTGAAGAGGTCTAGAATCATGCTAGACGAAACGTTGCAAAATAAAATTTGACGATCGACAAATTTCTTGTCGAATGACACACAAAAAAGTGTTGTCCCTTATTGCCTAAACCGATTGACTAGCGAATGCTAGATTATTATTTTTGTACCATCAGTTTGTGCCAGTAATTACATTACGTTGAAAAATCTGGGTTTTTTCAACTAACTTATCATTACTTTTGAGTTTAGTAGTTACCATCATAATGCCGAAGGCGAGTACTTCACAGAAGAAAAAAACCAACCGCAAATTGAAATTTGACGTCAACGAATTCAATAATCGACCTCTGACGGTGGCTAGACTGATAGCGTATTTTAAGGTCGAATACAGCGAAAACGGGGAAATACCTGTACCTTCGTATATGACCACTGCCAAATTACACAAAGTACATAGCACGTGGCTAAAGAATTGTGACCTGATAAAGGATAAACCGACGAGGACCCCGGCCAGCTTGAATAAAATCGATATTGTACAGATAGCTCACAAGTTTTCGCGAATGCGATTACGGTATTTGGAGCCGTATTGCGTCTCATCCGGCTTCATATTCGCCGTTATGCTGTATAACTAGTAAGTAAATTCTGAAACAATCTGGATCCGTCACCTACTAATTCGATATTCGTATTTACAGTCGCAGTAATCATAGGTTGTTGTACCAGAAGGCCGAGACCTGCGTTCCTTTTAACGTCTTGGAGGCGTGCGATCTCATACTTCAGCGTATCTTCCTTCAAGAACCGAACGAGTCCCAGCGTAATAAGTACGACAAGGGGAAGACATTGAGTGCTCCGGACCGATTACCAACGTCGAATGAAATGAAGGCAATAATCGGGCGATTTAACGGAAAACGGTTTAGGAAGGAATTACGATTCCTGTTAAACCACAGGGAAATATATTTAAAACCGTACACGCACCGGCACACGTTAACTCTGCTGCGATTTTGGTTTTGTCGACTTGAGTAAGTACCAATACCATTCTCATTCGGAGTCGTGCAAATAAAGTTAGATTTTCTTACTTACAGATTACGTTCCTGCGATCTACCAGTGAACATACCGTATGAGGCGTTCATATATGGAACCCGCGAATTTTCCGAAGCATATCTGCAAACTTTGCAGATCACCAATGAAGACAATGAATTAAATCGGAATCTGCAAGCTTTCGCCGCTGGTTACATCGACGCGGTCGAAGATTTGGTAGATCCAAAAATGTCGCCGGAAGTACCTTTGAAGCCACTCGTCGGACCTATCCCTGCCATCGATCCGTCTTCAATTGATGCCGAAATTGTACAGGATATTGCTGATGTTACGGCGAAAGCGCGGCCGAAATTGGTCGCGGCCGTACCCGCGGAATGTCCAATAGAGGGGGATCAGAGAGCCATACACAAAATCATCGAGTAAGTTGATATCGGTGTTTACGTAAGCATAAGTAAACCGTCTGACGATATAATTTTAATTCACGCGTTTCAGTAAAGAGGGAAAAACAATCGCCACTTTCGTGATTACGGTTGAAGGAACGAGTGAACCCGACGCACGTAAGGTCGTACTCAACAACATAGTCAAGGCCAATGAAACGACCGAAGAATACATTAATTTTGTGGACTCGGTCGCCCCACCGATCGATCAGTCATTACCCGATTTTACGATTGGCGACGATGAAGCAGAATCCGATGATACCGTAATCTCCAATACGGGTTACAGAGATACCTTCGAAATAACGAAAGCCGATGAGAGCAACGAGGATACGGACGTGGTTGGCCCTGGGACTGAAACAGATGACACTGCATTGGATTCCAGTTGCGAGCCGGTCGTGCCCGATGATACTGAGAGCGGCACCGTTGTCGAAATTACCAAAGGACGTAAACGGCGGAAAATCCCAAAATCCAAACACTTCACGCGAGTCAAATCGCACAAGCCGAACGCGCCCAAGTGTCGTGGTGGTCGTAGGACTGTTAAATTACCGGAAAAATACGATTTGTTACTCTTATCCAGAAAAAATCTACCTACGGTGCCTTATATGTATACGGGATTAACGAATTCGAGAGCGATAGTTACGTATCCTACAACACGCGGTTTGCGCGAAGATAACGTGGCGTTGGGGGATTTGAGGGCATTCGACTTTGGAGATTACGTACAATACTTGGATTCGGGCAGCGAAAACAATTACAAATGCATGTTACATTATTATAGTATTTTATTGAGAGACAGAAGGGTTCTTGTACGAGCTTAGAAAGCGGAAAGAAACGAATCTAATTAAGAGGCACAGTTTCCGTCAATTGTGACTTGATTGTTACTTTATTTACCAAATAAAAACATATTAAGATCAAATGATTGTTTTATTTTTATAACACCTGTAATTTATTAATCTCCGGAATAAGAACGCTAAAACAAAGGCGCAGCCTGCGAATTTCATCGCTACGGGAAAACCAACTTTGCACTGGCCAGGGACTTGTACGAATTTTTGCGAGTGACCTATTTTACATTGGTAAGTACCGAAACACGATCTCTACCCCGCGATCCCACAGCCAACGGGACTAAGCCTAATGACCGGAACTGATGGCCGGCCAGATCGCGTTTCCGTAAATGCTATAACGCATTATCTAAAATCAAGGAAACAGGGAAGGATCAGCAGGATGACCGACAGGATAATAAAAATTTATATTCAAGACATGTATTATTTCTTTTTAATAAAATTGCGTTTATTAACGAACAAATATAATGAAAATCGCTAGGCGATTAAACACTTAATCTTTATACCAGTACCACTTTGTCAGCATAATGACGTTTAATATCCTAATAATGCGTAATATTCATTTTTGTATACTTTGGTAAATACTTTAATAGTTAAAAAATCTATTATTACTAAAATCTTTGATTAACATTAATAAGATAAAAAGGTTGTGGTAATTACTTAATCTAAGTACATGTGCTTTAAAACCTACAAACGCTCTTATTCTAAAAAATGAACATTACTGGAGGAACAACGATTACAAATACATAAATCTTTATAACAGTACCACTTTGTCAGCAAAATTACGTTTAATATCTTGATTATACGTAATATTATATTTTTCTTACATTGGTAATTGCTTTTACAGTTTATCAATCTACTATTACTAAAATCTTTGATCAACATCGATAAAGTTGAAAGGGTATGGAAATGACTTAATCTAAATACATACGGTTTAAAACCTGCAAACGCCCTTATTCTAAAAAATAAACGGTAGTCGTTGAACGACGATTACGACGTTCAACGACCTCTGGCCTATTACGACCTCGAACTTATACCTGCGTTTGAAATAATCCAAAGGTTTAAATAATTTCCATAATGGGTAGATCAGAAGTTGTTTCGACCTTGGAAATATTGGTGCGCAGAGACAGAGGTTTAAAGTGATACATGAGTCAAAGAGAAAAAGCGATCCGTATTGACTTGTTTATAATAATGCCAGAATGATGACAACTAGAGTACGTACTTCAACTCCAAATTAACCCAATAGTCCCGTATAGTAAGGATTGTTTCACACTTTTGATAAATGCGTGCTTTGGAAAATGCATGGAAAACTAGCATGAAAGAATTCATGTCGTATAATAACTCACAAGTGCATACTTAAATACCTAAAATAACCCAAGAGTGGTTTGTTCCATCCAAAATAACCCTTAGTTTGATTCTTTCGTCCGAAATAAACCTGGAACTGATACCTGCGTTTGAAATAATCCAAGGGTTTTAATAATTTCCATGTTGGGTCGGCCATCATCAGAAGTTGTTTCGGCCTTGGAAATATTGGTGCGCAGCAACGGAGGTTTAAAGTGTTAATACATGAGTCAAAGAGAAAAAGCGATCCGTATTGTCTTGTTTATAATAATGGCAGAATGATGACAACTAGAGTACGTACTTCAACTCCAAATTAACCCAATAGTCCCGTATAGTAAGGATTGTTTCAAACTTTTGATAAATGTTCTTGATAAATGGTCCTTGTAACAAGTTCAGCTAATTACAATGTGAATTCATTTTTTAGTTTGTACATATTTGAGGATTTTTATATTGTAGGAATAACATACAAAAGTTTGTGGAATATTTAGTTACATGTTAGATTAATGTCTTTTTAAAATA